ATCCAATCTCAATCCCAATCCGTAGTCTGATACGGGCATAATGGAGTGTTCAGCCACCATATTGGATCTGCCATTTTGGATTTGGCTTGACTGAGGTCAGATCTATGATGAGCAGTCCCAAAATCCATGCAATCATTTTTGAGTGGATCTGCTGAATTTCCAGTGATTTACAATACAGAGTGGATCGGCCGTCCGTATTGGATTACCATCCTGGATTTTGATTCGCCATTTTGGATTTTGCTTCTTTGGGATCGGATTTGTCATATACAGTCCATGAACCACCCGCACAACCATTTTCAAGTAGATCCGGTTAATTGTCAGTAGTTTGCGGTGCGTAAAAGAAGTTTATGGCCACCATATTGGATTACCATCCCAAATTTCGATCACCCAGCTACTGATTCATGGTCAACCTACTATTAACTCTAACACAGGTAATTTTAGAGCTGTTTTAATCATGAATGAGCTGAAGATCTAAGGTTCCTATGAGAAAAAAGAGATTTTTGGCACTTTGAAGCGTCATCTTGGAACCACCATTTTAAATTCCGCAAAGTTGCACATGCTTTTGATAGCCCTAACTCAGAGCTATTTTTGGGTGCGAGACGGTTTTTCTGCGATGGATTTTCTTTGTTTTCTAATAATTTCATTGAAGCCGTTCATGGATTTCAGACGTTTTGGTTGCCATTTTGGTTCTGCCATATTGAATTCTGCACACGGCTTTCGATAGCTCTTACCGATAGCTACCTCTAGGCGCAAGGTCGTTTTTCTGCGATGAAAACAATTATGGGCAGGACGGTGGCCCGGTTGACAAATTTTACTCCTAATATATTTCAAATATTTAAGAAAATTTTCCCTGAGTAATAAAAAAGAACATTTTAAAAAAAATTTTTTAAATATTCTTAAAAATGTTCTCACTGGGGTTCCCACAAAAGGTTTTTAAACCGTTTGTAAATATTCCTAAAACCATTTTAAAATGTTTCTCATAATATTTTTATAGAAATATTTAGAAATATTTTTTGAAAACATTTTGTGCTGTATGGGTGGAAGCCGATGAAACGGCCTGGTGTCGATTTTACCTCGAACGTCGTTTTTCACATTTATCACTCCAAAAACATAAAAATTTTGAAAATATGCAAAAACTATTATCGGATTCATATAGAGTATTATAGAGCATCGAATTTCCTATAAAAATCACATACCGGTAGATTCGCAAGAGTAAAACTCGATGAAAGAGTAGAAATTTTCGAGTCAGAAAAATTACTTTTTACCATCAAAAATGCTTATGTCGTGCTAAAAATTACACCATAACTCCATGTCACCAAATTTCGTTGATAATACTGGCACGTAAAGACGTATTTACAGTAAAAAAGGCAAGTTTCTACGATAGATTTAAATTGGTAAAAAACCTAGTGTCAAGTTTGCCCCGGTCTCCCCTATTACAAAATTTTTTAGATCGCTGAATATGAAAATGATTATTGTCGAAATGAAAATTATTGTCCAATGGTGGTGGATGGTGGATCTAATATGGCAAATGTAAAAAAATGAGATCTTTAAATTCTAATTAATGTTCGTATCGAGGTGCCAGAATAACAAAATTAATAAGTAGACTTAAAAAAAAAGGTAAATATTTACCTTAATAATCTGATTAATAAAAACAGAACTATGTGAAAATTAATATGTTAAAGAAAAATTTCACTTGAGGTTGACTGTGTAAAAGTTTTACCAAAAGTAAATTTACCACTGTGTAAAAGTAATATTTACCAAGTTTTTTAATCTATACCAAATATTCCTAACAACCCCTATAACATTTTCTGCAATTGCAAATGTTGGCAATAAATTATGTTTGCCGAAAGGCCACAAATGGGAAACATACTTGTTATTGTCAATTCTGTTAGCACACTTCCGTCAATATGCAACAACCTTTGTATTGTTGTCAGATTTGCTCTGGTGTTGTCGTCAATTTAACTGTAGAATATGTTCTTCAGATTTGGTTCACATTAGAGACCAACCGAGGACACATTATCGTTCCGCTGGCATTTGTTTCCCTTTTGACAACATCCCACAACTAAAATGTTTTCTGGGAAAAAGTACTAACCAATAGAATTAGTAGTATTTTTTTGTTATTCAGAAATATAGAAAACTCAAGTTTTATTTACATTTTATACATAATATATAAATATCTTTAGAAAGAACTGTGTCCCGATTTGGGCCATGTGGCGTCCACTTATGATATACACATCAGTATGTAAATCTTAAGGGGTAACACCACTCTAGAGGCCCGAAAGTAGAACAATTTTTTGTAGTTAAAAAAAAAGTAAATAAAAAATCTATTTAAAGGACTTTATTGTACATATCTTAATGTGTGTATGAAATAATTTTTTATTTTTTAAATGGTGGCGCTGGAGCCTTGTACCTAAACGTAAACGTTTTATGGCGGGAAGTGCTCCGGGGCTTGCAGCATAAGTGCCGCAAATTTTGATCTAGAACAAAAAACCAAATTTTTTCATAATCTGCGTGATAATAGCTAGAGAAATACGTAGGGATTTTTTAAATACTGTTTTTAATATTATCATGCAGATAATGAAAAAATTTGGTTTTTTGTTCCAAGTCAAAATTCATCAAACCTTTGTATGTAGTCCGAGAACTTTCATATTTTATTATGGCATTATATAAATAACACAAAGCAAATTTTAACTTTTTTGCTACAATCTGAAAAGGAAGAATAACTTCTTATGATCTTCGATGCACTGATGAATCCGAATCCGCAAGCGAAAAAAGTTTTTTCACATATTAAATCATCAGTTGACATTTTTATTATATGCAATAGTTTGCTGCGAGCCTAAATGCAATCCTATGTCATCCTACGCACGTATAACGCTTGTCTCTAAAACAAAGCGCGCCCAAAGCGAACCCAAAGAGATTCAATGATGCCTGCGGTAAAAGATTCACTATTTTTATTTAAAATTTTTATAACGTTCAAATTTTAATTTGAACTCTTCAACGTTTCTAGCACATCGGGTTTATCAGCTACGGTAAAAAACGCATTTGTTATTGGGAATGTTAATTTCAATTTTTTCAAAAACCTGATAGGATAGAACATTTTCGCTCGCGGGATTCAGCATGTCAAAGATTATAACAAATTACTTTTTTTCAGACAAATTTTTGTAGTAGCTCTGTGTAATCTTTGTATTTCATAATATTTATTATAATATTTTTTATTAGAATTTGAGCAATCTATTTTTAAAAAATGTTATTTTAATTTAACTCAATACTTACCAGAAATATGGTTTTTTAAACATGATATGACAATCCAACTGGAACATGAAAAAATTAAAATAAGTTATTGAGATGAATATTTTACAAGATATTTCATATAAAAATTATCTTATATCAAAATATGTTGGGATAAAGTATATAATATCACAAACTGTTGAATTTTTTAATTTAGAGTACACACGAAAAATTAACAATATATAAGTTAGATTTCATAGAACTGTTCTACATAGGACTGTACAACACATATGACGAACATTCTAAAATCAACGTCGTGCGTTTTATATTACAAAATTTTGAACAAAATTTCTTAAATAAAGAAAAGATTTCCTTTAGAATATATTATTTATTGAACCATCAGTTTTTTCCAACATTTATCCTGAGTTTTCGACTCTAGCACTTGACACAAATGACAAGGATAACCTTTGACAAATACGTTAAAATTTCGTTATATTCATCTTCAGTCTGATGTTCCGACTTGAGAGAATTCGCAATTTATATTTGCTAAAAACATGCAGCAAGCGAATTAATACGATCGATTACATTATTGATTGTAACAATATTATAATATTTAACCCTCGAAAGCCATACTAGAGTCTCGGGGAGACCTCCACGAAATTTTGGAACTACGTTTGGAACTATCGTTCATATTTTTTAATGCGTATTTTTTGGTAATAATTTTTTTACAAATTCTGAGATTACCACTACAATTGTCAGAAAATTTACGAGCGATTGACAAATAAACCATTACAATACGTTGATTTTTTTGAAACTTATGAGCGAAATGGCTGGGATCCTTCACACCCCAGTGTGGTTTTTACACGTAGGCAAAAAAATGAGTGTGGCTTGCGAGGGTTAATAATGTCAGTATATTTAAAATAATTTAAAATACATATTTAAGGTGATGCTGGAGCCGTCTGTTTTCCGATTATTACGGCATTTCTTTGTCGTCACGTAGCGTCGTATTAATTTGACAGAATTAAAAATTTTTTTCCAGAATTGCAGTACATACATGAATGATTCAGGGGAACTCCGATTTTATATAGAAAACGAGAAAAAAATACGGAAGTACAGATTTCCTTATCTACTTTTATCCCAATATGGCGTCTCGAGTTGCGACGAGCTGTCAGCTCGTCATAAGATGTATTTCATATATATAAGAGATATACCATTGGTACAAACGCGAAAACAAGTTCCCCTGAATTGCACAACAATAAAAACATCGATAAGCCCCCCAAATCAAGATTTGAAAGCGTAATATAAAAGTATGATGTCGATGGGTATCGTGCGTATGTATGTACATATGCGTGCAATGTTAGATATGCTATCCATGTCTATATCCTTGTCTATACAAGGACAGATATAGATCGATTTGAAACATAGAAATTGGTAATTTTGTCGGTTATACAGACGGCTCCTGTATCACCGTGAAATTTTACAAATCAGTGGCATATATACTAGAAAATGGCACATTCAATATATATTTAGCCCAATTAAATGTAATCCGGAATATAAATAGTAATCCGGAGTAAAGGAAAACCGTGGTCAAGGCATTCTCAGCGACGCATTTATTTTACAAACTTTCAATATACAAGCATATTTTCACGAGATGGGATTTACAATCTTTAGACTAATTTCTGAGAAAGTATGAGAAACGAAATCCAAGTTTCTCCCCGAAGTGCCGTGTAATCATGTATTCGCCACAGATTCGATAGATTTTGATCTTGCAGAAAATGCCATCTGGTCAGCTTGTATTTCTCCTTTTTCTACTTACTGGTGATCTTTCGATTGGGTGACTATTTCGGTTTATCGAGCCCTCCGACTCATACGAATCTCGTCGTGATGATTCTTACCTTAAAGCTACCTGGACTAGCGTTCGAGATCAACTCGGCGGCCACGGCACCAGCCGATGACGCTCAGGGAGCGAATTCTGACGCGCTCAAGAAAGTTAATTTCATGGACATAATACATTATAGCTTCGGTTATATGGGCGTGCTAACAGGTAAGGTACGACATATAAGGATATAGACGCGAGATTATAAGTAATAAATGTGCAAAGAGAGAGAGTTGATTTACAAGTTGTATCTCGATTTTTGCAGGTCCATATTATCGTTACAGGACGTACTGGGACTCTCTGCACAGACCGTTTTCCAGCTACGTCGATCCATGGCCGCTTACCTATTACAAACTCAAACAGATCGCAGCGTTCATCGTACTGTTTCTAGCGATAAACCACTTCTTTTCTAGCGACGTAATGTTCATTACATTGCATCGTAAATAGTCAAACGCATAACATCGCAATAGAATGGAATCGCGGGGAATAATTTGGGTCTCATTGCGTTATTACTAATAACAGCGAGCTTTCCCTCTATTGCAAATAAAAAACGATCAAAATTTCCCAATTGCGAACGGTATGAATGGTAATAATCGTTCCGATAATTCTAATGATAGTCTCCTTTTCCAATTTCAGTACACACAAACGGTAGCGTTCGAAGAGCACTGTTTCTTATATAGATTTTTCTACATGTATCCGACATTCGCTGGTTTTCGATTAAGAATGTTTATCGGCATGGCACTGGCTGAATGCGTCTGCCAAATGTCAGGACTAGGAGCTTACCCAACTTGCTGTCAACCTACACCCGGTTTGGGCCCGCGCAATTATAAAACAATCGAAAAATTGTAAGATAATTTCCTTTCTACATCATTCTACATTTGAGATATTCATATATTCAAGCCATTTCTCTATATTAACTGATAAAACAAATTTACATTACATTACACTTGGGCGGGTCGCACACCCTGAGCGACAAATATCTTATAAGATATATATCTCTTGAAATATATAAAATGCATTGTTCATCTATGCTGGAGCCGTCTGTTTTACCGGCATTTTTTGTCGTCACGTAGCGTCGTATTAATTTGACAGAATTAAAAATCCTTCTCCAGAATTGCAGTACATACATTAATGATTCGGGGGAACTCCGATTTTATATAGAAAACGAGAAAAAATTACGGAAGTACAGATTTCCTTATCCTACTTTTATCCCAATATGGCGTCTCGAGTTGCGGCGAGCTGTCAGCTCGTCACAAGATGTATTTCATATAAGAGAAATACCATTGGTACGAACGCGAAAACAAGTTCCCCCGAATTGCACAACAAGAAAAACATCGATAAACCCTCCAAATCAAGATTTGGAAACGTAATGTAAAAGTATAATGTCGATGTGCATCGTGCGTATGTGTGCGTGCAATGTAGCGTGCTATATACAAGGACAGATATAGTTGATAACATAGAAAATGGTAATTTTGTCGGTTATACAGACGTTTCCAGCATCACCTTGGTGATGCTGGAGTCGTTTGTATTACCAACAAAATTACCATTTTCTATGCTATCGACCTATTGGGATTTTCAGTCGTGATGTCACAAGGCCAAGATGGCTGGCCTATTCCTGAAAGTATTAAGAGCTGTCATATGTAAACATATATAAAGCTTGTGTTTTTCATAAATAATTAATGAAATAACGGTGTTTGTGATAAAAATAGTGCGATGGGTAAAAATTTTATTTGTTATTATTAATCTTCAATTAATAACAGGAGTGTTTAAAATACTTTTGCGTTTAAAAAATCGGTGAATTGTTTTTACATACTACATTTAATATACAATTTATTATAACTAATATTCAGTGAATATATTTTACTTGTTATTGTTAAGTTATTATCATATTGACTTGCCAGGCAGAACCTAGTCACTCCTGTCAAAGTACAAAGAACACACTGCCCACTTTTTGATTATCCACTCTGGTTTTGCTATTTTCAAAACTCTCTCCCATTCTAAATTATCTTAATCCATAGCTTTTGCAACCAAATACACAGCAAGAATCGCGATTTTTTTGTGTCTCTAGGGGAAAACCTTGCCCCTCTGTCTTCTAGGTGTTCACCCATCGCACTTTTTTTTATCACAAACACCGTTATTTCATTTATTATTTATGAAAAACACAAGCGTTATATGTGTTTACATATGACAACTCTAATACTTTCAGGAATAGGCCAGCCATCTTGGCCTTGTGACGTCACGACTAAAAATCCCAATATCTGTCCTTGTATACTAGACAATATCCTTGTCTACATCTTAAGGTGATCCTAAAGCCGTGATCCTAGCCGGTTTTTTTCAGTTTTTTTCTTAGCACTAATCTTTTAATTGGCTTTATAGAAATGCAAAATTAAAGTACGCATCAAAATCTAGGTCATGGTGGTCGAATTTATATCGAAAACGAAAAAAAATTAATATTTTTTGTTATACGTGATGACCACCACATATAAATTCGACTATATTGCACGCACACATACGCACGAATCGTCATATACACTGTACTCTTATATTAGACTTCTAATCTCGATTTGGAGGGTTTATTGATGTTTTGTGCAAATCTTGTTGTGCAATTCAGGGAAACTCGTTTTCACGTTCGTATCAATAGTATATCTTTTATATGAAGCACATCTTGTGATGAGCTGACAGCGATCGCTGTAACTTGAGACGTCATATTAGGATAAAAGTAGGTAATGAAATCTGTAATTCCGTAATTTTTTCTCGTTTTCTATATCAAATTGGAGTTTCCCTGAATCATTGATGTATGTACTGCAATTCTGGAAAAGGATTTTTAATTCTGTCAAATTAATACGACGCTACGTGACGACAAAGAAATGTCGGTAAAACAGACGACTCCAGCATCACCTCACACCTCCGCGTAAACGAGTAAATTATCGTAAGTTACTACAGAAGTAGTACACGCAATTACTGTTGCACGATGTCCCATAATGCAAGGATGAAAAAAGACCCAGTGTCTTTAGTTAGATTTAGAAAAGCAGTTGAAAAACATTCATATTTATGGAATTATACTTACAAGAGTACATACAGCAAGAATGATATTACGGACTTTGCATGGAAATCCGTTGCAAGCTCTTTTGACATCATTGCAGAACTATAATGCACATTATGGAAATTATAGAGATGTATCCAATATCTTCTTCTCTTTTATCTCAAAAACCAGTAAGCCATAACTAGTCTTCTTTGCTTGAACTCATTGTAACTGACCTAAGGACAACGATATAACCGAACAACCGATAAATGTCTTATTGCTTTGGTGTGCAGTCCGCCGCCTTAGTGTTTCTTTTTTTATAACATTTAAGACGTCTTCAAGACGTCATATGTCCCGATTTGGCACATGCGTATTGTCTGGGTCGTTTCATGAAACCTTTATCACTGACACTGACCTTTTGTCATCCCTGCAGCGCGTGAAATTCTAGCTGTCATTCGTGATCGCTAAACTTCTCTTATTTAACAACTATTATAAACTCATCGGCATTTCCGTATTAGAATTTTTGTCTTAAAATATTACAAAAAATTTGTCATCAAAATATTTATCGTCAATTTAGAGACTATATACCCTACATACCGTTTCTCGGCGTTGACACGCAAATACTCAGATATCCTGGCGCAACATGTTTCTAGAGTCAAGGAATGTTGCAGATGTGCGAGCAAGTGACATTTTAAATTATTTTTCAGATCACTTGATCATGAGAAGGCAAAGAAAGAAGAACAGGATTTTGAAACGGTGCACAACATGAACGTGTGGGAAGTAGAATTGACTCCGTTTGTCAGACACACGATGAAAATGTGGAATACGTGCATACAATATTGGATGGCTGTGTGCATTTACAAAAGATTTCCTCATAAAGGCTTGAGAACCATCGCCACGTTAACTTTATCCGCCCTGTGGCATGGTTACGCTGCAGGCTACTACTTTTGCATCTGCCAAGTTCCGTTCTATTTACCCTTGGAGGACATCTGTGTTAAATTCTACAATCAATGCGAAGAAAACGGACTTGTAAGTCTTCTATATGTAAATTTAATGACATAAAAATGTAAAACTTGTTTTTCTATTCTTCAACAGTACAAATCTGAAAGAGATATCTTATATATATATATATATATATTTTATTAGAGGTACAATCAAGTTAGGATAAGAATATACTTGAAAATAATAGAAATGTCAATTTTTAACATAAAAAATAGACTGTTTCTTGCACATTTTGAACAAATACATAAAATAATTTTATAGTATGTTTAAATATCTAAAAAAAAGTCTAAATGTATTCTCTCATGTACTACGTTTACGCGAGCGTTACTTCTGTAGTAACTTACGATAATTTACTCGTTTACGCGGAGTAAATTATCGTAAGTTACTAAAAAATCTCGTTTACGCGGAGGAATTATCATAAGTTACTACAGAAGTAACGCTCGCGTAAACGTAGTAATAATGGCCGAATGATTAGAACAGACGATCGAGAAATAATTTATTTTAAATTTTATTTCATTTGTCACCTGGCAGCACCCTCATTTGATGCATTTGCATCTAGATTTGAAGTAAACAAAAAAAAAGAGAATTAATTTGCACTGGATGTAACGCTAAACAGTTCCAAAATCTTTGAAGCACTCTTTATATTTTTTTAACCTTTATGTATCTCCTTTTTTATGATTTTATAAATTTTTAATCTTTTAAAAAAAATTGACTATAAATTGATCATTTAATTGTAAAAAAATTTTTTTATGAGTAAAGTTGCAAAAAAACTGATTTTTTTCCGTAATTAAAAGACAGGGCTTGCTTGGAAAAAAGTATCGATCGAAATATAACCAATCATATCAGAAAAAAGATTATTGTAATGAAAAAAGAGAGCATAAAGGTAGAAAGTTTTGCCCTATGATTTTACAATCGCATTCTTTTTTTTTTATTTGATCATTATATTAATGTAATAGTTGGAACTATATGTATCAGAGAACATTGCCTTAGATAAATATTCTTTTTCTTTGACGTAATCATTGACTATTCGAATTGTCAGTCTTAAAACTTAAACTTTGTACATTGTGGAAAGAGCTTGATATATAAATTTGAATTACATAACGTCATTTTGATCAGTTTAGATTGAATTTATAAATATCTTAAAATAAATGCAAACATCTCTAAATAAAAAGCAACTTTTCAAGAGCGATGTTCTCACATATTGCAAATATCGATTTGCATGTTATTTGAATGTTGAGTGAGCGTTACTTATGCTATATTTTTATGATGAAATACAGGGCAGAAAGGCCTGGGGATTCTTCCTCTGGTGGGCGAAACTTACATGCATGGCGTATCTTGGCGTGCCTTTCCAGTTATTGCGCTTCCAGGAAATAATACATTTTTACAAAAGTCTATACTTCTCTGGCCATATCCTAGGGCTTGTAGTGTATCTAGTCTTACGAGTTCTAAAAACTCACTTTCTTAAAAAACATCAAATGGAAGAACATAAGAAGAAATAATTTTTCTTGCAAGTGTATTAGCTTTAAAGCAGAAGTTTCTATATCAAGAAGTCAGATATCTTGATTTAGTTAAACTGTTGATTAATGAAAACCTATGAATCAGGAGATCAGTTTTCGATTATTTGATAATTTTTTATAAATGTTATATTTTTTTCTTGTATGATACCTTAGTATTTCTTCTTTTACATTTACGATTTTATATAAATTGCTAGAATCTAGTGTGTGTGTGTATATACAGGGTGCTCCTGAATTCTTGGTACTTTTTTCATATTTAGATAGAGCGAGCCAAACTGAGTCGAAAAGTCATGTACTATTTTGCAATTTTCGCAATAGTTGACGAGTTATTAATGATTAAAAATCGCCGTATTAGCCCGCCCTCCGCCAAATCCTAGCGCGCGGCGAGATGCGGCCGCCCCGCGGTCGGCGCGCGGGCAGTTGTTTATTACAAGCGGCGATGATTTCGCACGAGCGGCGCGTAACGCCGGGTCCCTGTCCTAAGCGATGATAGTTTCTCTCCTTTTTTTAAATAGAAATAAAATTTTCTAACAACATAGAACATTTTTTTGTGCGTACGTATGTACATACGTGTGTACATGCATACAGGAAAATATCAATTGTGCTGCTTAAAAAAGCGATTACTCAATTTACTTTTTTTTTTTAGTAAGTAACGGTTGTCTTTAAGAAAGAATATTTTCTTGATAATAGTCTTAAAATGTACAAATTTTAGAAAGAGTCTTTATCATGTGCTATGTACTCGAAAGAAGAATTTATACTCCTTCAAAGAACATAATAAAATTTTATCAAAGAAAAGTCAAAATAATAAATAAAGTAATATGAGGACC